CAGTTGGAACATAGGGAGGGGGTTGGGCTGGTAGATAGCTTGAACCAGGGACTGGGCAGCTGGAGGCAGGAAGTGAGGGCATGCTAACTCTTTGAGCCTCGCTTTCTTCCTATAAAATAGCAATAATGCCACCACCTCATGCACCTGCTGTCCCCATGCATCACCATCAGGATTCTCAAACTGAGGGTGGGAGAAGAAGGCATAGGGTGGTGCCGCTGAATACACACGGCACATACATCTTCCCGGAATTTTATTTGAAGAGTTGGAGGTGGGAGAGTTTATAATAAAACTTGGATTGTTATGCAGCATAATGCAAGCCTTGTAGGTATTTAAAGAGTGAATAAGGAGTTTTGAAAGAGCTGTCATGCTTCTAGTGGGTTGCTCCTGGCTACACCCCTGGTTCCCCGGGGATTGGACACGTGATCACACCCCGGTGTGCCATGTAGGGACTGCAGTAGGAAAGCAGTAGCAATGCTCTCTTGTGGAGGCTGAGAAGTGCCTGGCATACAGTAGGCGGTCAGTACATGGTGGCTTGTGTTATGGCAGCAGCTATGTCTTCCCAGAGGAAACGGGCTCACACAGATGAAGTTCTCGCTTGGACTCACTCAGCTAGAACATGACAGAGCCAGGACTGGAACCAACTCCTGACTCCCCATCCAGTGCTCTGTCACTAACCCCATCTCCTCCACATGGGAAAGGCACTAATGGTGAGCAGCCTTCCCCTACTTAGACCACTACCCCAGTTCTCCCTCTCTCTCTGAGAACTCCCTCTAGTCAGGGCGGCTGGATTATTGGGTTCTAGCCCTGTGGGGGCACACATGTGTAACTCCTCTAAAAGCAGGCACCCCTGGGAGGAGGCAGCAGACATGCAGTTTGGATGAGCAAACCTGTGCGCTACAAACCCACTGACATAGGAATGATGGGTTTTGGTGGAAAGAGGAAAGGTGCAGAGTATGAGACACTCTCAGGATTGGGTGGAGGCCAGAGCAGTGGTCATGAGGGAGGAGGTTCATCAAAACCCACATTTCCCTCTCAGTTTTATTGAAGATAACAGACCCTCAGCTCTGTATTGCATTTCCAAAGCTCAGGTTCCTAGGTCCAGATTAGGACCAAAGGTGCTCTGGGTCTTGCTAACTGGTGAGGAGCGATATGGCATCCAGGGATAGCAGATGATTTGGGGAAACCTCAAGCCATTATTTCTTCAGACCCAGCCAGGCTGGCCTCCTGCCCTGGGCCTTTGTCAAGATTTGTTTCTGTGACTGTCTCCCTAAATGGGAGGAACCTATGGTCCCAAAGTGAATGAATCAACAATCTGTATTGGGGCATGCTCTCTCCTTCCCCCTCCGCTTCCCCCACAGGCAGCGTGTGTCTCCTAAACTCTAAGGACCCATGAGGCTCGCAACCAGGGGAGCAATGGGCAGCAGCATCTCACCAGGGACTAATGCCCTGAACCTGTCCCCAAGGCACCCTTCTCTCTGACTCTCAAGTGAGCTGATAGCAGCCCCATCTTGGCTCACTTTTTCGCCATAACATTTCTAGTGAACCAAGGCAGCCTCTTTCCTGTTGCTCCTTCTAGCTATCCTAGGCCCTTCCTTGTTTCACTGTCCCCAGCTTTCATAAACATATTCTCAAAATAAGTTCAAAAAGCAATCCAGTCCAGCTCAGCGTTTGAGCATCAACCTATGAACCAGGTCACATACCTGGATTGCGGGCTTCATCCCCAGTAGGGGGCGCGCAGGAGGCAGCGGATCAATGATTTTCTTCATTAATGTTTATATCTTTCCCTTCTTCTCTGAAATCAATAAAAATATATTTTAAAAAACAATCCATATTTGTCCAGCATTCTACTTCATGCCAAGAAATGAGGTCAGGGGAGCCCTGGCTGGTTTGGCTCAGTGGATAGAGCGTCGGCCTGCGGACTCAAGGGTTCCAGGTTCGATTCCGATCAAGGGCATGTACCTTGGTTGCGGGCACATCCCCAGTGGGGAGTGTGCAGGAGGCGGCTGATCAATGTTTCTCTCTCCCTTCCTCTCTGTAAAGAAATCAATAAAATATATTTAGAAAGAAAAAAGAAAAGAAATGAGGGCAGGGGAGAAAGAGCCTGTCACTTTCAAGCCTCACTTACTACTCACAACACAGTGAGAGCAGCCATTTCCCCATTTTACAGATGAAGAAGCTGATGCCCGAAGGCTTGTTTCTCAGGCCCCCAAATATCCTGAGACATGATAGAAATGCAAGTTTTTGGTCCTACCCCAAACTTAGAATTTCCCTGTGGTAAACCCAAGAACTTGCATTTTTAAACAAGGGTGGTCATCAGTTGATTCTCACGCTCACAAAAACCTACGACAGAGAAGTTTAATAACCTGCCCAAAAGTTCAGCTTTTGAGCGGCAGAACTGTAGTTCAGACCTGAACCTTCTGACGCGAAGTCCAGGGCTCTTTTCAGCACATTTGAGAAGCTGGATACCTGTCACCACCCTGTGTGTCCCAATGTCCACCACGCAGGCGCACAATAAAGTTTCCTGAGTGAACAAATGAATGAATCAGGGGACCCTAGCTGCTTGCGGTGGGGCGGGCTGGCTCAGCCCCCGTCCTGAGGAGGGAGGGCTGATGCATGGAGGAGATGCTGGACCTGCGGGCTCCGACCGTGTTGCTTTCAGAAAAGCCACTGGCAGAAGATCCGGACCATGGTGAACATGCCCGTCATCAGCCCTTTCAAGAAGCGCTACGCCTGGGTGCAGCTGGCCGGGCACACGGGTGAGCACGGGCAGGCGCGGGTGGGGAGGGTGCGTACCGGGTGGGGAGGCAGCATTAACTGGCGCCCGTCTGCAGGGAGCTTCAAGGCGGCGGGCACCAGCGGGCTGATCCTGAAGCGCAGCTCCGAGTCGGAGCGGTACTGCCTGGCGCGGCTGATGGCCGACGCGCTGCGCGGCTGCGTGCCCGCCTTCCATGGCGTGGTGGAGCGCGACGGCGAGAGCTACCTGCAGTTGCAGGACCTGCTCGACGGCTTCGATGGGCCCTGCGTACTTGACTGCAAGATGGGCATCAGGTACGTGAGCTCTGCCGGGCCGTGCGGGAACCGTCGGGCGGGGGCGCGGGGCGGTGCTCGACGGGTCCTGGGGTGAGTCCGCTCAAGCCCCGCCGCTGCCTCCGCCTCCGTAGGACCTACCTGGAAGAGGAGCTGACCAAAGCCCGCGAACGACCCAAGCTGCGGAAGGACATGTACAAGAAGATGCTGGCCGTGGACCCCGAGGCGCCCACGGAGGAGGAGCACGCGCAGCGCGCCGTCACCAAGCCCCGCTACATGCAGTGGCGGGAAGGCATCAGCTCCAGCACCACGCTCGGCTTCCGCATCGAGGGCATCAAGGTGGGCCGGGCTCGCTTTGCTTTGCACAGCCCCGCCGCTCCTGCACCCCAGCGCACACCCACTCCGCGGCGTCAAACCTCCCAGGGCCCCCCACCCCCCTGAATACGCACCCGCCGGCGGCCGTCTCGCTGACCGCTGCTCTAATGATCCAACCCCCTCTGGCGGGTACGGCCCCTGACGCTTCCTGTCCCACCTCCTTAATTAAGAAAGCGGACGGATCCTGCAGCACAGACTTCAAGACCACGCGGAGCCGGGAGCAGGTGATCCGAGTCTTCCAGGAGTTCGTGCAAGGGGATGCGGAAGTGCTGGTGAGCGCCGCGTCCTGGCACCTGCGCTGTCGGGGCGCCTGAAACCGAGGGACGCCCCCAGGTCACCCTGTCTAGTGCCCTCGCCTATGTGACCCCTGTCGTCGCTTTTTCTCACGCTGTGTTGTAATTTTTACGTTTCTTCCCTTCTGTCCTGCGCGCCACGGGCGGGCCTGTTTTTCCTCCACGGTATTTACCAAGCAGAGCATGAGTCGTGACCCCTAATGTTAGCAGAAGCTCGGTCAGTGTTAATGTGCCCTCCTCTCCCACCCTACCCTGTCCAGCGGAGGTATTTGAACCGCCTGCTGCAGATCCGGGACACCTTGGAGGTCTCTGAGTTCTTTAGGAGGCATGAGGTAAGGGGGGAGGGCCAGGTTCCTGGTCTGTGGTCTGTGAGGGCTTCCCCAGAAGGGCCGTGGTCTGACCTTGTGGGTTTTGGCAGGTGATCGGCAGCTCCCTGCTTTTCGTACACGATCATAGCCATCGCGCGGGTGTGTGGCTCATCGACTTCGGCAAGACCACGCCCCTCCCTGACGGCCAGACCCTGGACCATCGGAGGCCCTGGGAGGAGGGCAACCGCGAGGACGGCTATTTGCTGGGGCTGGACAATCTCATTAGCATCCTGGCCAGCCTGGCCGAGAGATGAGGCTAGGGACTAGGCCCCTGTCCCCCGCACAGACCCGCTGGTCTCACAAATGGACCTGCAGCTTTGTCCCCGCTGTGCATGCTGGGAAGAGACAAACCCAGAGGTTGTGTGGTTCATAGGGTCCTGTAGGGCCAAGTGCCAACCACTGTGGGACGCACTGCACGCACCAAGGCTGTTCCCCATACAAACCCAAGCGGTCCCAGAGCCGATGACACTAAGTTAGGGGGTGGGGGGTACACTGTGACAATGGACTTCTTCCTGAGTCCAGCTATTCTGAGGGGGCTCTGCACTTCTCCAGAGAGGTGAGATAACGAATTTTATTTCACAGGCACTAGATCTATTGATCTATCCTTCCCACACTACAATGGACTCCCCTCCCCAATAAAACTCAAAGACACCAGCTTTGGTGACTCAGACTTCATCTCCTCCCTCCTCTGGTCCCCTCTTTCTCAGTTCCCAGGCATCTCTAAGGTCCATTCAGATCACTGGGGGATATGAGAAGAGTTCTTTTTTAAAAAGAAAATTTATTGATTGATTTGAGAGAGGGTGAGGAGGAAGAGGAGGAGGAGGAGGAGGAGGAGGAGGAGGAGGAGGAGGAGGAGGAGGAGAGAGAGAGAGAGAGAGAGAGAGAGAGAGAGAGAGAGAGAGATTGATTTGTTTTCCACCCATCCATTCATTGGTTGCTTCCAGTATGTGCCCGGACCAGGATCCAACCAGCAACCTTGGTGCATCAGGATGACACTCCAACCAGCTGAGCCACACTGGCAGGGTGAGAAGAGCTCTTTATTAGTTGTCTGTAGGGTTGTGTGGACTGCCCAGGTGAAGGGTACTCATAGGGGAAGGGCAGTCCAGCAAAGGCTTCCTGCAGGAGGCAATTTCAACTGGCCACCCACATCCCAGGGAAAGGGGGTTGGCCTCTGCTCTGGTCCCAAAGTTTAAAGTTTGGGAGTGACCAGGCTCCTCCCCAGGAGGCCTGGGTCTGGTTTCCAGGATGGAAAGTCCTGTGGTGCAGGCCAACCTTGAGACAGGCCCAAGCATGCAGTACAAACTGGGGTGGAGGTGTGGGGGAGAGACTACTGGAATAACAAGCCACTTAGAAACCTGGGGAGGAGTGCAGGGAGGAACCACTGCTAGCACCAATGCCTATGTCCTCCCTCAGGGCCCCTGGGGGCCCAGCAGCTATAGATGGGATTCCAAGGATCCCAAGGTGGGAGTCCTCTGGCATTGGGGGGCTTGAGGCCAGAGGGCAGCCAGCTCCCTTTCCAGCTCTTGAAGTTCTTCAGACTCAGTTCCTGGGCCTGTGGGGACCTTAGCCCCTCCAAAGACCTGCTCCCCAGCCCAGCAGCCCTTTCTCTTCCTGGGCCCTAGCTCCATTGGCAGAGATGAATTCAGCACATCAGGGTCTTGGGGGAGCACATCAGGGTAAGGGAGCAGTGGGCCAGTGTTGTTTTATGGCCTCCCTCCTGACCCCCAAGACAGGATGGTCAGGGCAGGTCACGGACACACCTGCCCTGTATTGAAGTCCAGTATGGAAGATGCTCCAAGATGCTGGCAAAACTAGGGCGGAGTTCAAGCCGGTGCTGCCAACACTGGGTCATGATGGGATACCTGGGGAGAAGTAGCAGTTTGTGCTCAACCATGACTGTGAAGAACCCCCTCCCTGTGCAACACTCTAAACTCTCAGAGGCCCTAGACAGCCCCTGGGAGGGGCTGGCCATCAGTCCCACTCTGGCTATGAAGTCCTGCACCTCCTGGTTGGTGCCCAGGGCAGAGCATATAGCCCAGTGAGGAGATCTCCAAGAGCAGTGCCTCAAAAGACCTGCATCATGAGTGGGGGGAACCTGATGAAGCCCATCAGGCACAGCCTCCCCTTCCCTCACATGAGGTGGCCCAGGGGAGGGGAGAGGAGTCTATCTTGGATGTGAAGATGCCCTCTAGGAAGGCCTCTGGGGCATCTACTTGACTGGCAGCAGAGCCTGGCAACCCTTTAGGTAATAACTGCCTCTATAGGAGGGAGGAGGGGAGTGATGAGCTATTCAAATCACAGGGGGCTGCTGGGAAACTCCCTTGAAGCTGCAGCCTTCCCCACCTCCCCAGGCCCCACACTTGTAGATAACTCTAGCCATCCAGAAGTCCCCCATCTTGGCCACTCAGCTGGGTCCACTGCAGCTCAGCAGACAGTTCCTGGCAGCAATGTCCCTGCAGAGTTGGGAGGACTGCCAGAACTCAGAATCTTGCTCTGATCTACTTTCATTAAAGTTATGTGGAAGGTCTCTTTCTTGGGGGGAGGGGGGCAGTTGGGCTAAGGGATCCCATGAACCAGAATGACTCCTGACCTGCCAGTCAAGTGGATGTCCCCAGAGGAAGATTTTCCTCAGGTAGTGGCAGCCCTGGGCTATGTCCTGGGCCAGCTGGAGCAGGTCCTGCACGGCCAGAGGTGATGGCTGGGCCTGGGTAGGAGAGAGGGTGCATTTGCCCATGAAGGTTTTGGCACACATGGACAGGGTCTTTAGAGGCACCTGGAGGGCTGGGAGAAGGATCTTAGCAGGTGTGGCGGGCTGCGCCTCAGGAAATTTCATGTCCCCTCCAGCAGAATTAGGTGAGGGCCGGCCTGGAGGCTGAGCGCCACACAATGCACAATGTTCTGATGGCTGAACTTGCTGGGCTGGTGGTACACACATCCCATCACCAGCAGCCAGAGAAACCACGCTTTAGGCTCCACAAAACTGCAGGGGACATCGGTGTCCCTAGACTTGCTACCTCTTAGCCCCTTGGTGAAGAGAGGCAGCTCCTGCAGATTCTGGGTGCCTTCCCCACAACTTCCACATGGCCTGTGGCCCCAGGTGCACCCCCATGAGGAAATCCTGCTTGTCCTGAGAGCAGAGTTCGGGCAGTCTAGGGAGGATAAGGGCACCGAGCTCCTGAGGTCCCCAGACACCAGGAGGGTGGGTTGACCCTAGCATCAGCAATTGTTTCTTTTTGGAACCCTGCTCTCCTGGCCCCAGCCAGAAGCCCCACCCCATCTCACCTTGATAGCTACCTGCAGGGGGCTGGGGTCCCCAGGAAGGGCATAACCAGTCCCTCATAGACCTCTCACAATGGCCCAGGGCTCTGTGTGAGAAGGGTTAGAAGGGAGTGGGTAGCTGAGCCTGAGGAAGTGTTCTAGAGAGTCTTGTGTCCCTTTATCTCCCTCTCCCCACTCCTTTGCCCAGCTGGCCTGGAGGGTCTGGGCTTTCTCTACAGCATGGCATGTTCCCAGGTGTAAGCCCTGCAGAGGCAATGTTGACTGGCACAGAGCCAGGGCAGAAGAGAAGGCAGGTATGGGGGTGGGAGTCTATATGAGGTCTACCCTTAGGTCCTTGCTGACACCCTAAGGTGGAGGCAACCCTTGCTCCAAATGAATCACATCCTAGGGTTCCTACCATCCCAGAAATTAGGGATGACATCTGACCCTGGACAAGCTATTTTCTATTTTGGAGTTTCTCTGGCTTCCATCTCCTCTACACAAGGTCTTTGGGCCAACAGCTGCTCTCTGGGATCTATAATTCACCAGGGACTGGGGGAGAGGGGATTCAGAGTGCATAGGGTCTCAGAAGGAGGGGGAGGACTCACCTGAGCAGAGTGACATTATTTAGAGAAATCTCCCCCTAAGCCCTGGGGCAGAGGCCAGGACTGGGTTGGGCCAAGCCCCATCTGGCAGCAGTAGGGGTTAGGGGCTGTCCTGATGGTGGAGGGTTGAAGCTTGCTCAGCTGGAGCCTAGGGCCTGGCAATCCTGTCCCCCAAAGACCGTGCCACTTCTATGGTTCACTGAGGGTGGGAGGAACAAGGACACATTCTACCTGCCCAGCAGCCCCACCCTGCTTTGCCTCCCCCTGCCCAGGGCACCTCCACAGATGCCCATTAAGGCAAATGTTTTCCCCTGGGCCTCCCCAGCTGCTTCTATCCTTAGAACCCCAGAGGAGTTCACCATTGCTCTGCTGGGAGTAGGGGGTCTTGAAATCAGCCATGTCTGCCCCTGAGACCCCACACAGCTCAGTGGAGAGGTGGGCAACCTTGAATTAGCCATGCTTTCTGAATGATCCATACCCAGAATCAGGACCCACACACATGAGGAGGCTCAGTGTAGAAGCTGCCACCACAGCCACTAATAGAACCAGAGGGCCTGATATGGGGGCAGGTCTAGGAAGAAAGAGAGACACCTCCAGTGGGAAGCTCCTCTCTGTCCCTTTACCCCAGGTTTGAGCCTTGCCTCAAGACGCAGCTCAAGTGTTAACTTTTCCAGGATGCTTTCCCACTTATCCTAGACCAGTGGTCGGCAAACCACGGTTCGCAAGCCACATGCGGCTCTTTGGCCCCTTGAGTGTGGCTCTTCCTAAGCCTTAGGAGTACCCTAATTAAGTTAATAACAATGTACCTACCTATATAGTTTAAGTTTAAAAAATTCAGCTCTCAAAAGAAATTTCAATCGTTGTACTGTTGATATTTGGCTCTGTTGACTAATGAGTTTGCTGACCACTGTCCTAGACAAACACAACCTCTCCCTCCTGAGAACCCCTAAAACACTTTACATCCCCCATGGCAATTGTTACTTAGATATAGACATAGATGTAGATGTAGATGTAGGTATAGGTATAGGTATACGTATAGGTATATAGATATAGATATAGGTATAGATATAGATATAGGTATAGATATAGATATATAGAGATAGATTCATATATCTAGATAGATGGATAGTGCCCCTCCCACACTAGACCACTAGACTACATGCTCCCTGAAGGCAGAGCATACACTGATGCATCTCTAATCTTCTGCCAACACTCAGTATCCTGCTCCTCCTCCCAGCCTGCGGCCCCAGGAAGCCAGACCTTGGACAATGGCAGAACATACCCATGCAGGTGCTGTTATTCACAGCTAGCTCCATGCCCTCTGAGCACATGCATGTGACCAACCAGAACTCTGCCTGCCATTGACAGTCTTTCAAAAGGCAATGACTGTAATTGAGATGCAGTTGGCTCTCCACTTCTCCATGGTTCCCTGTGACTATGAGAAAATAACTGTTATTGCGGGGTGGGGGAGGATGAGGTGGAGTGGGGTGAGGGGGACACACACCTGCTTTTGCCAGCCACATGTTTAATTCTAACCCTGGACCTTGGAACAAGGAGTCGTGCCAGATATTAAGGCTGGGTGGGAGGTCTTGGGGGGCTTTTGTCAGGCCTGCATACTCTCTCTGGAATCCTGACCTTGCAGGAATTTGAGGAGAATTCATAGCAAGGAGATACTTGACAAGCACCCCAGCATGCCCCATACTAGCATCAAAACTGACAGCCCAGTTCCCCAATATTTCTGTGCTGTGCGAGAAGTAGGTAGTTCACATGGAGGAAAAGGGCTAGGCCAGGCTGAGAGGTGGGTGGCAGAGGTACTACCAGCCAGAGGCTGCAGGTAGAGCTCAGCCCCTGGAAACTGAAAGTGATAGGGGGAGGAAGGGGCACACAGCTGCCTCACTGCTGGGAAGGTGGTTTTTGAACTGTGTGGAAGCTGGAGTCTCCCAGTGGAAATCCCAGTACGGCCTCCTCTACACTAGCATTACAATACAGGTGCTGCCAGTTCAGCAGTGGGAGCCAGAAGCCAGGAGCCAGGAGCCAGGAGCCAGGAGCCAGGAGCCAGGAGCCAGAGAGGTGGAGAGGGAGTAATCACCCATAGGCCCATCTCTGGCTGGTTGGGACACCTCCTTGTCTGTCTGACCCCTCTGGTCCCATGTTCTCAGCTATAAAATGGGGAGGCTGTATATAATGGGAGAAGATGTATATAAAGTATTTACAAACAGTGCAGCCGGACGGACACGAGGGCTCTGCCTTACATCACTGGTTTCCAAACTGGTCTGTACAGGATGGATTAGAACACAGATGGCTGGGACCCTCCCCTGGAGTGTCGGGTTGCAGAGGGGCTGAGAGTTGCATTTCTAACAACTTGTTGGTGCTGATGCTACTGGTTCGGGCACCTCACTTGGCGATCCACTGATTTAAACCGTCCCTGGCGTTCTGCCTCTGCTCAGATTGCCCGTTCGGCCTGCTCTAAGTTCCCGCGACAGCTGCAGAACAAGAAGGGGGTCTGTGGTGATGGAAAAGTCCTGGATTTAAATGAAAATCTGGGGAGTGCTGTCTGCAAGTGTGATTTGCAACTTATCAAACCTCTTTTTTGCTTTTTCTGGCCTCTTTTTCTAAGAGCTATTGCTCTACCTGCTCCGGCCTGGAGCGGTCTCAACCCCTTTCCCACCCATTCTTCTAAGGCGCTAACCTCCTTCATCCTGGGGGGCGGCCCAGCTGCCCGCCCCAAGGGTGTACCCACCCCGGTAGCCCGCCGCCCCCACTCCCAGCGGCCGGCTGCGGCCCCGACAAGCGTGGCCCAGGCCTCGGCGCAGCCTGGCCGCCCTCTGCCCCCGGCCGCGGTGAGCGCCGGGCCTGGGAGAGGAGGCCCGCCAGGTCCAGCCGCCCCTTCGCCTGCGGGGAGACACAGGTGGGCTGGCAGCGGGACCGGGAGCCCTCGCCCGCCGCCCTCCTCTCCCACTGCCCCGGCTCCGTGGAGCGGCTCTGCAGTTTCTCGGGGGCGGCCTGAATCCGGCCTCGGTCCTGCCGCCTCCGCGGGCCGCCGGCAGCCGCGGCTCCTACTCGCCTGCGCGCAGCTACCGGCCAGCGGCGCGTTCAGGGCCGGGCCGGGCGCTGGGCGAGGGTCTAACACCCCCCACCCCCCGCCAGGGGCTGAGTAAGGGAAGGGGCTCCCGGCCACACCCGGGGACTTCGGAACCCCAAGGCCCTACTTAGAGCTCCGGTGCGCGCCCTCGGGAAAGGGCTTGGGGGCCCCACGCTGCGCGCCGGGAGCGAGCACGGACCCGAAAGGCGTAATAGTGTCCCCGCGTCCGCCGCCACCACCCGCCCAGCGCCGAGGCCCCGGGACCCCTTCGGGCCCCTCTGTCGCCGCGAGCTCCTCCGGGGCAGACGGGCGGTTCTCCGGGCTCCCGGGCGGGCATCGGCGCCGAAGCTGAACCCGGAGCAGCGCTCCCTCCCTTCGACGACCCAGCCCTCGCGCTGCGCTCCGGCGCCGCCCGGTCCCACCGGCCCCGCCAGCTCCGGGGCAGGCGTCCTCTCCCTGCGGCCCCGCGGGGACGTGAAGCTGCTCCCCGCCCCCACGGGACGGGTGGTTCTCAGCGCCTCGGCCGCGCGCGGCTCCGGAAGCACAGGTCCTGCGGGCAGAGGGCGCGGCGTCCCCGGCCCTCGCCATGGCCCCGGGGCCGCCGCCTGGAGCAGAGGTTGGTGACACAGACGGCGCCGGAGTTTCGTATCCGAGGGACTCGAGGCCCTGGTCGGTTTCGAAGAGATGGGACTCTGGGTTTACGCACCGGAACGTTAGACTTACAAGCTCCGCCGCTGGTTGCGGGCCCTGTGCTGGGCGGGAACAGGCTCCTGGGGCTGGGGCACGGGGTGGCGACGACTGTCCCCCGCCCCCAGTTCCGCCGAAAGAGGGGCGGTCAGGTCGCGGGGCCCCCGTCGCTGCAGAACACCCTGCGCGCACGTGGCCTTCCTCCTGGAGGGTAAAACCCGGGCTCACGGTGACCACCCACCTCCACTCCTTCTCTGCAGGTCCGGGTCCTGCCTGGCCTGGCCCCGCAGGTGGAGAACTGCCAGGGCCCCTCGGTGTCCGGGAGCAGGGCGGGAGGAAAGGTCATAGCGCACCTGCCCGGTCCAGGTGTGATGGGCAGAGGAGGAAGGGGCCCACAGCTCACCTGAGGGAATGGCCGAGGGGCTGGCTCCGAGCCGCTAGGCCAGTCTGCGTCGCTGATGTTCGCGTCCTGGGGGCTTGGAGTTGGGGGCAGGGAGAGGATGGCAAAATGGAGCCTGGGACTAGGAGCTGGAGGAGGGAGTGGCTCCTGAAAGGTGGTAGGGAGACTGCGAGGTTGGGAGGAAGGGCAGGACGTTCATGGAGGACAGGAGATGGAGAGAAAAACTTCTCGCCCTGGCCGGTGGTTCAGTGGTTAGAGCGTCCGCCCGCTGACCAGAGGGTCGCGGGTTCGATTCCCTGTCAAGGCATTGCTGCTTCGGTCCCCATTGCTGCTCTCTTCTCTCTCTCTCTCTCTCTCTCTCTCTCTCTCTCTCTCTCTCTCTCTCTCTCTCTCTCTTTCTCCCTCTCCACTCCTCACCCCCTTCCACTCTGTCTAAAAATCAAAGGAAGAAATACCCTCCGGTGAGGATTAAAACAAAAGCACTTCTCAATAGCCAGCCTTGCCTCTCGAGGCCACGCCCCTAACCCCACCAGCCAGTGCTCACCAGCGCCTGGAAGCCAGCCAACCCAACTTTGGTCGCCACCGCCCTGCGCCCTGCCCTGCGGGTGCCCACTGATTGCTCTGCCAGAGAGCCCTCCCAGTGAGCCACGCGGGACCCCAGGACCTGTACCTCCTTCCCCAGCTGAGTGATCAGGACCCTAGGATTCATGCATGCACCGCGCTTCTCCGCCCACAAGGGTTGTTTTTTAAAGGAATGAATGTCCCCTTTTACCTTTTTAAATATATTTTTATTGATTGCCACCGGACAACTGATTTCAGAGAGGAAGGGACGAGAGAGAGAAACATCAATGATGAGAGAGATGCCGCTTGCACACTCCCTACTGGGGATTGAGCCCGCAACCCGGGCATGTGCCCCTGACAGGAATCGAACGCGGGACTCCTCAGTCCACAGGCCAACGCTCTACCCGCTGAGCCTAACCGGCTAGGGCCCACAAGGGTTTGAGGCCTCTGGGGGAACCACTGGGAACAAGTCTGTGGAGACCACCGTCCCCAACCTAGGAAAATGCCTCTGGGCAGTTCCCTGACTGCCAGAAAGCACTTACCCGTAGCTGTGAGCCATAGCAGTAGCAGCCATCACCTATTCCCCGGTGGATTTAGGGTTGCTGGCTCAGACCCAGCCAGAGTGTAAAGGGCTAGATGTAGATACAAGTGATTTAGTAACAGCTCCCACCCTGCTTATAGGAATGGCCAGCCTCTGGCTAGTCACCACCTGGTCCTAAAGCTGGCCTGGCCACCCCCACCTCACACCACGGGTAGTCAGAGAGGTCCCCAAGGTGGAAGAACCTTGCAAAGCCCCACACACAAAGGCTCTAAGTCTCCAGCCACGGGCTGTCCCAGGGAATGGGGTGGCTATCACATCACGTAGGGTGAAAGTGTCCCCACCCTTTTGAAGCACGATCTTGAAAACGTGGAGAGCCACACCCAGGCGCCCCATATGGGGCTTCTAGGTCTCTCAAGTCAGGAGCAGTGGGTGTATGTGCACACTTCATTGGTAGTGGCCACTGTGATAACATACGGGGAAGTGCTTTTTTTTTTTATATTTTATTGATTATTTTACAGAGAGGAAGGGAGAGAGATAGTTAGAAACATCGATGAGAAAGAAACATCAATCAGCTGCCTCCCGCACATCCCCCACAGGGATGTGCCCGCAACCCAAGTACATGCCCTTGACCGGAATCGAACCCGGGACCCGAGTCCGCAGGCCGATGCTCTATCCACTGAGCCAAACCGGTTTCGGCTGCTTTTTTTTTTTTTTTAATCTTTATTGATTTCAGAGAGGGAGAGGGTAAGAGAGATAGAAACATCAATGATGAGAATCATTGATCAGCTGCCTCCTGCACATCCCCACTGGGTATCAAGCCTACAACACAGGTATGTGCCCTTGACCGCAATCGAACCCGGGACCCTTCAGTCCACAGGCTGCCGCTCTATTCACTGAGCCAAACCAGTTAAGGGCAGAAGTGCTCTTTAAACTGCCCCAAGTAAGGCATCAATACTTGCCATTATTTGTGACTATAAGATTACCTCGCAACACCCTCAGAACCAAGGATCTCCAGGTTCACCTCATACAAGTCCATTGCCTGTGTTAACTCTGTGCAAAACTTCAGTGTGATGGTGTGAATGCCTGAATCCTGCTATCAGACATGAGTGCTAGTACTGTACTAGCATCTCTGGTCAGTGGGTGGTGGTGTAGTCACAACTGTTCTGAGGCAGTTTCCCCACCATCTATAAAGATCATAGGAAGGAAAACTGCTCAGTAAATCACAAGGCATCCTACAACTGTGAGGGCCATTCAGCCTTCAGATAGTTTTGTATCTTCCTCTCTTTTGCACAAAGTACTAATTTTATAGGCTGACGCATATATTTAATATAAAACACTGGAAAACGAAGCTATAGTAGTTAGGTACTTGGTACAATTCTGCATGTGTATACTGCTAGATGTAGATACAACAGTGATTTTGTAAAAGCTCTGGTGCCTATTCCCTATTTAACTCTGTAGATACTCCACTATGAGGTCATAGGATGGCCTTTATAAGGTCTCTGTAAGCCAAGGTTCTTAAGGAGGATGGAGCCAGGACAGCAGCTTCAGCCATCACCTGGGAACTTGTTAGAAATGCAAATTCTTGGGTTTCACCCTAGACCTACTGAATCAGAAACACTGTGAATCAGAAACACCGGTGTAGGGCCCAGCAATCTGTTTTAACACATTCTACAGGTGATTTGTCACATGGTAAGCTTAGGAATTACTGCTGTTTGCAGATAAAGTGGTTGCTTAGTAAAACATCTTGTAAAATACTGTGTTCAGCAACTCCATTTTTTTTTTTTTTCCCAGCAACTCCATTTAAGGGGAGTGGGTTCTACCTACTGACAGGCACACCATACTCATACTGATGACCTATAAATACAATCACGTTATTCCACATAACAAATGACAGCTTGTGTTAGAAACTCTCTCAAAAGAAAGAGATGAACCAATGAACCAGAGTTTGTTTTGACCCACTCCTTCTCAGCTTTGCCTACCACCAATAAAGTCCATAATGGAACACTGTAAAGACTGAATGGTGTGACCCCACCAAATTCCTATGTTGAAATCTAAACTTCAATATGAGGTGGGGCCATTGGAAAGTGACTAGGATTCCACCCTTGTTGGGTAGAATGGGATTAGTGCCCTTATAAGAGACCTCCTTTGTCCCTTTGCCAAGTGAGAGCTGTCCATGGGCAGGATGCAGGCCCTCGCCAGACACCAAATCTGCCAGCACTTTGATGTTGGACTTTCCAGCCTCCAGAACTGGGAGAAATAAATTTCTGTTTATAAGCCACCCAGTCTATGGTATCATTATAACAGGCCAAACAGAAAACTACTGCAATAGTCTGACTTTTGGCCTCTTCATATCTCAGGATATGGAAATAGGGGACCATAGACAAGATGCTGCCCTA